TGTGTATATATATAAGAGTTATATATATATATATATATATATATATACATATACATACATTATCGGGAGAGATAAAGCGGAAGAGATAATGGCATTTTCAGAATTTTATAATTTAACTGTGACTTTAAGTCTTTCTTTGCTCATCTTTTAACCTTAATGAACTTATATATACACAACATAAAAGATACGGGTATTATTTATCCAAAATATAAATATTAGGAGTATTTTTTTCACTTTACCCTGTATTTTATTTACATTGAATTTTCTCTTTTTCTTATATATATAAATATATATATTTTTTTACTGTGACACATTGTAATTTTAAGGGGGAAAAAAAATCCAACACTCAGTTGTTCTTTCAAGAGTGTGTCACGGTGAATGTTCGAAGATTTAATTGAACCAAACTTGACGTCATGAATATTTAGATTTAATTAAATATCCTAATTTATTTATCATTTGTTAATTTTAAAATAGGGATAGAAGTGCTACCAAAAGTATACTTTAAAGGTATTTTTTTGCACTTACCCCATATATATATATATACATATTTTATTTTTATGACATGTTTTTATTTCTTAAAGTAGCTTAAGTTTGGAGAGCAACCATCTAATTTGACCATGTAGCTAGTGTTGTGTTTCTTGGAATACCTTACAATTTATCACTGAATTGGCATGTATTGTCAATCTTCACCGACTTTATGATCTACGTAAATCGTATAATAAATTATAAAAAATGATATTATTAACTACTTTAATACCCCAACTTAAAATCACATACATAAAAATATGACGGGATTATTATAAAATTTCAACTTAAATAGGCATACATAAAAATATGACTGGATTATTCTAAAATTTCAACTTAAATAGGCATTATCACTACTCTTGTTTGTTTCAATAAAATACGTCAATTTTCCTTTGGCTTTTTTTATCTTTTCAGTTTTTCATATCTCATTTCCTTATCTTTTTAGTTCACATAGCAATAATTTTCCTTTCCCTTTCCTTATCTTTCAATTTTTCATATCTCATTTCCTTATATTTTTAGTTCTACATAGCCGTATTATCTTCTTTTTCGTTTTCATTGCAACTTTCATGGTACTCAAATTTAATAATTTGATTTGTATAAAATCTAGAGCAAATGCAATGTTTTTATAATTTTTCCATACTTTGCAATTTTTAAAAAAATTTCTCTTCTTGTTTTTGTTTCTGGGAGTCAGATAGATCGTTAGCATTGATCATTATACCAATTAACAAATGCCTATCAAAATAATAGATGATTATTAATGATCAAAGACACAATACGAAGTATCTCAATAGTCTTTACAGAGATGCAATTTGAAATAGAAAACATATATATATATATATATATATATATATATATATATATATATATATATGGTGGTTGAAACTTTAATTGCCAACAAAGATACTCATAAACTTAGAAAAAAGATTACAGCTTTTTAATATAATCAATTACCTTATATTTTAAGGTGAGTCCCAGTATATTTGACACATGAGTACCACCTAAATAAAATAGTAAATTTTTATTTATCAGGTCAAATAACATAACTCATAAATTATATGAGGATATAGTCCTAAGAAAACTTAAGTTTCCAACCTTTAAATAAGCTATCCCACCAATACGCCTATGGCCTAGCGGTACAAGACTCCTACTTCTTAAAGGGAGATCAGGGGTTCGAATCTCAGTGGATGCAGTTTATGAGTCCCAACTACGAAAAGAAAAAAAAAAAGAAGTTATCCCTTAAAAACTGAATAAGAGAAAATATTCGAGACCACAAGAGAAAGGATAGAGTGAGAGAGAAAAGGAGAAAAATTAAATTAAATTGAGGTCCTAAAAAAATGGCAGTCATTGCCACATAACAGGTCATACAGAGGCAAACAAATCATGAAGCAATAAAAGAAAAAACTGCACCAGCGGACCACCAAGGGAGAAGAGCAGTAACGGGAGTGACTCAAAGGTCATGCCATTACCAAGGCAACAGCTCCAAGGTTGCATCCACAAGACGCCGCTGACCGGGAGAAAAATCATCCAAACCCCGCACAAAAAGGCAGGGATAATAAAACCCGACAAAGATTAGAGATTTAACCGGAGACAAAACAACAGATCCACCCCGTCGAGCCAGAAACAAGACAAACATGAACAGATCTAGCAAAACGACGTGAAACCAACCCATCAAACGAACTTATTACAACACGCCGAGTTTATTGAACGGTGAAAGTGTCGAGTTTATTGAACGGTGAGAGGTAAGGATCAGCACTCGCCCACTCCTATGGAAAGAAGTGGGAGTAAACAGAAGAGAGAGAACGAAGGAAAGGCGGTTCTGTGGTTTGGAGAATATGATAACGGCCAACAAGTAATAATTATTTTTATTAGTCGGGTACTAACATAAATTAACTACTCATGGTGGATATTTAAGGTTGCCCTTTCCCAGTCCACATGTTTATACTAAAATATCTCACATTCCTACATTTTAACTTCATTCTATATTCGTTCACTCTTTTCTTTTTTGCGGGGACCCATTTTGTTTAGAATTTATTTTAGGGTTGCCAGTGAAAAATGATGTATATAGAGTACATAATTCTTTATATATATTTTTTTAAAAATTAATATTTAATTTTAAAATAAATAATGACCTGAAATGTTGAAAAGAGTAAAATGTCTTTCTATAACTAAATAAAAAATAGGTAAAAGACTATTTAAATATAAAATGACTAAATTGTCCCCCTTTTTTTTTCTTTTTCTTTTTTTTTTTTTGAGTTTCTTCTTCATCATCATTGTTGCTGATAATAGAAGGTGACGACCTGATATGTCTGCGTTAGTTTATTGTGTGTGTATATATATAAGAGTTATATATATATATATATATATATATATATATATATATATATATATATATAAGTACATTATCGAAAGAGATAAAGCGGAAGAGATAATGGCATTTTCAGAATTTTATAATTTAACAGTGACTTTAAGTCTTTCTTTGCTCATCTTTTAACCTTAATGGACTTATATACACAACATAAAAGATACGGGTATTATTTATTCAAAATATAAATATTTGGGGTATTTTTTTCACTTTACCCTGTATTTTATTTACATTGAATTTTCTCTTTTTCTTATATATATAAATATATATATATATTTATTTTATTTATATTTTGACTGTGACACATTGTAATTTTAAGGGGGGAAAAAATCCAACACTCAGTTGTTCTTTCAAGAGTGTGTCACGGTGAATGTTCAAAGATTTAATTGAACCAAACTTGACGTCATGAATATTTAGATTTAATTAAATATCCCAACTTATTCATCATTTGTTAATCTTAATATAATTTTACTTTCTAGAAGATGAAAACTTTAGTCCACCTTGAGTTATCTATTTCCGTGCACGTTTTTTACAAATTTCAACAAACACTGGTCAAATTTTGTTTGTGTCTAATTTTTCATGGATAAGGATATACATTCAGTCAAATGAATGAGTGTGTTTTGAATTTTACCTATTCCATTTTCGCAAACAATTAGAATTATGTCATGGACTTAATTTTCATTAGTCATTCAAGTAAGTTAATACAATTATACAATTTCGAAAAGAAAAAAAGATATACAATTATACAAATTATATAATTTCAAAGATTCTCATCTGACATTTGAAAGTTATGAGTTCAAATTTTTTTTGGACCATTCAGGGAAAAAAATAATAATAATAATTAATAATTATCCTATGCATATAGAATAAGATGACTAAATATATTCGGTGGTGAATTATTGTCTATTAACATGGTTGTCAAAATCCCGATTTTGATTCGTACAATCGCACGATTTTACGATTCAAAATTTAAAATTGATCCAAATCTTAACAAAATCATTCATTTAATAGAATCAGGGGTCGAATCGAGATAGAATTGTAGAATTGGTGTAGAATCGTACGATTCTAAATAATTCTACTGATTCTACAAAATTGATTGTTTGGGCTTTTGTTTTTGGGCTGAGTCCTTTTGTTTTGGATTGGTTTCTTCTAAGCTACTTCCAACAAAGTGTCTTTTTAAATATTTATAAACTTGTCCCAAGTATAGCATACAAAGTTAAATATTTATTCTATAAAATATAAAAGTATAGACTTATTGTATACAAAGTTACAAACTACAAAGAAAGCCCTAGCAGTAGCAAAATTTCAGAGGCGGCGGCCAAGGTTCAGAGCAGATCGGATCCACAGACAGCCCTCCTTTTTATAGTTTTGGCGAAATATTTTTTATTATTGTAAAAAGTATAAATGATTTTGAAGCCAAAATACACCAATAAGTCATTTTCTGATTGTCTTCTTTTTGTTTATTTATTTGACAGATGAGTAACAAATTCAATCCACATGTTTGGACTATTGCGCTATTAAAAAAATTAAATTCCTAACTTTTTACTGTGTGAATAAAGAAAAAATATCACTTCTAACTAAATTCTTAAATTTTTGTCATTCCATCAAATCATGGATGAGGTAAGATAACACCTAAAAAATTAAATTCCTAACTTTTTTGGCCTTTATTTTTGGACTAGTTCCTTTTGTTTTGGGTTGGTTTTTCATGAATATATAATATTATGTGTTTTGACCTTATTTCTGATATATTTTACAGATCTTATTATTTAACAAGTTAGTTTCAATTATTTTTTTTATAATTTGGTAGAATCTTACCATTCATGATCTGATTCTACGATTCCGATCCTACGAACCAAAACGATTCTACGTAAAATTTTGATTTTAACAACCTTGCCTATTAAGCACCTTTATTTTTTATTTTAACAATATTGAGCTCTTTAACTTTGACATTAAAGGCAACTTCAAAGGGCAATGTGTGTAATGGGCCGAATAGGGCCCGATCCAAGGTATATAACCCACACTCAGTTTGTTTCAGCGTTCAATATAGTGATATAAACCCAACTCGAAACTTAAACCAACAAAAAAAAAAAAGTTTCGAGAGAATTATGTTGGCCCAGGGCACAGCGTCAAACAAAAGGACAATAACCTTTTATCCGACTACCCAGACAGAGATCAACAACTCATTTCCATTGATCGATTGTTTCCATCCAAACAATAAACATAGGAAAATCAAGAAAAAAAAACTCTGAACCTCTCTCTCATTTGTGTTATATTCACTCTTCAAAAGCCATTCTGACCCGACGATAACACACGCTCTCTCTCTCCAACGAGGACTTCGATACAATCGGATTGTCAAATTAGTGATCTCGCGCAGTGATCTCGTATAATCTCCAGGTTCCGTCTCTCTCTCACACACATACACACAGTATCAGACACCTTAAACTGTTATGTGCTCATATAAAAACTTGACGTTTCAGCTTTGGATATTTATGCTATTGAACATAATTATGAGTGTCTTGCTTGATCTTAAAATCGAATTTTCCTTTTTTGGTCAATTAATCAAAGAAGTGGAGGTTTAGATAAAAAATAATAATAAAAAAGAAGTGGAGGTTTTGGATGTTAATCACTTCAGAGCTTGTAGTTAAAATTGTTAGTTTAATTACATTTGTTCTCATTAAGCTTGGATTCAATTATGTATTAGTAGTGCAAATGAAGAGTTGCCAGTAACATCTCAAAAAGATCCAACTTTGTAGTTTGAATTATTGATTGGAAAAATCACAAAAACTTTGATATAAATTGTAGAGTATTGGTGAGTGCAGATTTTGTTGTCAGAACTGACAATATATATGATGCTCATTGTGATAATGACAATCGTTTGATTTTAGCTCTGAGCATAACTCTCTATATTTATAGCCGTCTCTGCACAACATCTGACTTTCTGGGATTTTGAGGGTTTTACCACTTTCCTCTTTGGTCTTCTCAGTCATTTTCTATTCCTGCACTATTGTGCTCCTTCTTTAAAGACAACAAAATCCATTGGTGTTATAATTTATTTAAATTTTCTCTGCACGCGGTCAGATCATCTTTGTTGGTTTCTGATCAGCCTCCTGCCAGAATTTCCAGAGCAGCCAAATTCAAAAGCTAGTAGAATTTAGAATCTCTTCTTTCATAGTTAGGCCATTCATCCATCTTATCTTTCTTGTCTCATCAACAACAACATGGTTTTTGATATGTAATGTCTCAATTGCACAAGTCCCATAAAGCATCATGGTTGTTATATGATATCGTGGGGGGAAAAATCTGTTAATGATTCTTACAGGCTGGCCATTTCAAAATCCTAATTTCTGAAGTACATTTCAACTTCAGTCCTGTGACTCTGATTCTACGAGAAACAAGTTTCTGAAGTACATGGACAAAGGGATGGCAAGTTTATTGCATCGGTCAGCATTCTTAACATCAGTATGTGTGTATTATACACTTAAAATCTGAACACTGGCTTCAGAAGAAATGCATTATATTGTAACTGTAAGCTACTGATTTAGGCATGAAATATTGATATGGATTACAATCAATTTTCTTTAACCCTAGCCATGGAAAAAAGATCTTCAGTTGAAACCTCTTTAAAATAATAAAAGAAAATTGTTAAACATATGAACCAACTATTTGAAAATTTCAAGGTAGTTTGAGGGTCTTGATAAAGATAACATAAAGTGTGTATAATTGAAACACTTGTATCTAGATAAAGCAGTTCAGTTCATGTCTTTCTTGTCTCCCTCATTGTGTTGCCCTGAAATAAGCCAAAAATTGAACTTGCAGTATGAAGAGAGTTGTTGGTAACGGCTTTATTTCCCACAGACACTTTACCTGGGGCTTTTGGCATAGCTTAAGCAAAATGAAACTCAATTTCAAGAGAAGGCCATCAAAGTTGCAGTGAGCTTGTGAACTTGTGTGATTCTCTTGACTAACGGAGAAGGGGAGGGTGGGAGAAAGAAAGCCCCTTCCTCTCATCTGTTCCTTGCAGCAAGATCACCTAATTTTTCTCTCTTGATACCAAAAGCTATTTTACCACATACTTCTGAAATAGATTGAGTTATTTTTACCATTTTACTTTTACTTCGTTTTTTATCCAGATTGATTTTTTTTTTTTTATATTCCATTGCATACATCTGATTTGATGTTATTCTTACTGATACTTTTAATTTATTATAAAAGGAGTTACAGTTTGATTTATCTCAATAATACTTAGATATTAGGTCTTAAGATATGATCCTATACTGCTGTTATAAGAAAAATAAAAACTAAATTAATAAAACCTAGTATTCTGTCATATGGAGACTTTCTTTTTCCAAGCTTTTACATTTATAAATTTATAATATTGCTAGTGGCATCTTAATTCATTTTAATTGTAAATTCCTAAATTTGTAGATATCAGATTATGAATTTGTTCTGGTTGACTGTTTGAAGTCCAGAAATTTTGCTTTGTGCAATTTTGATCAAATTCTGCCAAATCCACATGGATCTCAATGATCTTAACAAGGTCTGGGAAATCAAACCTTTAAACAAGGTTCGAGAAGATGAGGCAAAGGAAATTCTTGAAAATGTAGCGAAACAGGTGCAACCCATCATGCGCAAACGTAAATGGAAAGTCAAGATCCTTTCTGAATTTTGGTACTGATTATTCTCTTTTGTTCTTTCAAACACATTTTCCAGGTTTTTATCTTTTCTTTCTCTATACATTTCTGTGGTCTCATCAAGAACTTTATGTTTTCAGTCCTGCCAATCCTTCTCTTTTAGGGCTGAACATAGGAGGAGGGGCTGAGGTTAAGCTCAGATTGCGGAGGCCAAACAATGACTGGGATTTCTTCCCTTACAATCAGATTCTTGATACTATGCTACACGAGCTTTGCCATAATGAACATGGCCCTCATAATGCTGCCTTCTACAACCTTTTGGATGAAATCAGAAAGGTTATTAGCTTAACCTACTTATCTTATTGGAATATTTCACTGATTATTTTATTTTGTTTTTTCTTCCTTCCTCCGATCAGCAGAAGCAAAAATAATACTGTTTTTGTCGTTTATTTTTGTATTTTCAACATCAGAGCATTTCAAGCATTTGATGATTACTTTGAGCTCAAAACCCATGACCACCTGCTAGTGATAATACTATATTATTTTTACTTATAAAAAATAAGAAAGAATAAAAAAAATTAGTCACCACCTTAGATAGGATTTACATAGGAAACACAAGGACTATTCTAGAGAAGATCAAAGTCCTAATCCTAATCAATTTTATAATCATTTCTACTGAACAAGGATGGTAGTAAAAGAAGGAACTGCGTAAGATTTCCCCCAATTGATTTTTACTCTAGATAGGGGTGGAAAGAATTATTCCATTCTTGGGTTCAGAATAGCTTGCCAGAGAGCTCATGTAAGAGATGGGATTGTCATCTCATTTCACACCATGTATTTTCTTGACGATGTTTTCTTTTTGATCGAGATTTAAGTATGAATCATCCCATCCAGTGCTAAACACTTTGATATTGAGCTGTGCAAAGTCCTGCAGTTGCTGGGTAGGGTTTAGAAATGTTGCCATTATAGTTACATATAGAACATTCATACTTTTTCTTGCAAGTTAAATGCATAATTGGATATTACATGGACTGTCTCATGTTGTCAAAAATTGCTACTCCTATAGCATTCCTTGTTCCTTTGAACACTTGCATTACAGAATTGCTTTTAGGAATCCATAGAAATTTCTTTTTTCCTATTCTTCCTTTTGTTTCTATTTATAAGACAAAGCATCAAGGATTATGAATACCATTATATAGAATCTAATTTTTTTTGAAAGATGAAAGGAAAAGGTCATAGAACAGCAAGAGCTCTAGTTTCCAAAAAGTAAAAGAGCTACTGGTGCATTTTAATGATATTAACCTTCATTTTTATTTATGAATTTAAAGTATTCTGATATACCAACTAGAACTATCCCATGGTAGTTTCTGACAATTTCATTATATACCCCTACCCCAACCCCAACCAAACAACATTTTAGTACATATAATGGCCCACGGTGCTGTTCAGTTCCTGTATCGAATAATCTGCATTCCTTGTAATATTGATTGTTATGTACATAAATTGATTGCATCTTAGAAAAACATATGTACTAGTTCTACATGATGACAGCATCTCAATCTTTGGATATGGGGCTTCATTTGCTTATATACCAATTTCTTGACGATCAATTACCTTAAGCTTTATGGAAAAACTGGTAAGCAATTAAGAAGTATTGAACATATCAAAGTGATACTAAGGTTTTATGTATTTTTTATTTAATTGCGTTTTTTTATATTGAATTAGTTCTTTTCTTTTTTGTTTTTTTATAATGGGGAAAAGGGCTATCAACTATTGGAGTGCTGACCTATCGCAGAGTTTTACCATGTATGAGTGTTTCGCCAAGTAACAGAAGTTCTTATCTCTTGCAAACTAAACACAGTTTCTCCATTGTATACTCTTAAGTTCGAATTCATGTATAACAAGGAATATTACATTTGTCATCCTGATTTCCCTTAATCCATGCATCCACACGTACAAAATTTATCTACCATTGTTAATCCATATTCCTGCCATCCAAAGTTCATTTCATATTGGATTATGTGTTCTTCTCATTAATATATTTTTCTCGTGAAAATTTGCTAGGATTTACTGATTACCTATTTCATTCCGCATTCTCTTCTGCAGGAATGTGAGGAATTGATGGCTAAAGGTATTACAGGCACTGGGCAAGGATTTGATCTTCCTGGGAGACGTTTGGGTGGATTTTCTCGTCAACCCCCTTTGTCATCACTGCGCAAGAATGCCCTTGCTGCTGCAGAAAATAGGGCACAGCGTGGAGCTCTGTTGCCATCTGGGCCTAAGCGTGTAGGTGGTGACAACAACATTATGGCTGCACTCAGCCCAATACAAGCTGCTGCTATGGCTGCAGAAAGGAGATTGCACGATGATCTATGGTGTGGGTCCAAATCTTCAGAGAACCCCAATGTGCGGGGAAATATCAGACCTTCTACAGGACACTCTGAAAGGCCTACGGCTTCCTCATTACCAGAGAATGGTTCTGTTCAAACTTTACCTTCTGGATCCATACCTTGTCAGGAAACAAGAGATGTTCGAACAATGTGGCAGTGCCGAACTTGTACTTTATTTAATAAGGTAATGCTTCTCCTCTCCTCTCTCTCTCCCTCTTTCTTCCCTTTCTGATATTGCTGCAACTTGCATCATCTTTAAATTAAATTCTGCACGTCCCCTCTGTATATTGATATCAATATTGAAACTTATGAGGCGTTGTGGAAGGCCTATATAACATCATCCAACACGGCCACATCATTATATGTTATTTGCGAGTTGTTCAGCAAATCTAGTTTGAATATGCAGCAATTATATCTCTCAAGTTCTCAACGCTACCTTGAATGTGCGTATATCTTATTAAGTGTCTTAAGTTGAAAGTGTTAATAGTAATGTACTTTAGCAAAGCAATCATATTGTATGCCAACTTGTGATTATGGAGGTTGCTCTAGTTAATTTATTTGGAAAACTGGATGAAGTCATGTACTATACCAACTCTGTTGTTTCTTATTCAACTTTAGCAAACTTATACACTGTTAAATGGCGGTATGCAAATTCTCTATTTCCGTTTTGAGTTTATCGATTTTAATTTTTCTCCTCCCATACTTAAAACCTAACAGCTTCTCTTTTCTGTGGTCTCTATATTTGCTTTTTCTTGGTGAAAGCATTCTCCACAGAATACTATTAGTTGTCCTCTCAAGCTGATTGAGATAACCATTGTTAGAGATCCCTTTTCCCCCCATTTCAACTCTGAAGTTTCCATTATGTATTGTAATTTTCACCTTTGATCTTTAGTAGTTGAGAAAAATGCTTTGTTGAGTAGAGTTGAGTTTCTTAACAAGGAACAATGAAACATAGTGCATTTATGATGAGTTACCATGTTCCCGGGGAATCGATGGCTCTATTTTGTGTGCGGATGAATGTATTATAAAGAGCAGCTACTTACAAGTGATTGTAATTTTTAAAATGAATTGCATTTGCCAATAATTGAACGTATTACTATCATATGTGAGAATGACTAAAATATTTGACAGTGGATTTGACATGCTCGAATGTTATTATTTACAGCAACTGGCTCTAATATGTGAAGCCTGTGAAACCCGGAAGAGTGAAGGTGATGTAGTGAGGTCCAAGGTCTGGTGTTGCAAATTCTGTACCCTGGATAACACTGTTGAGGTAGACAGATGCTTAGCTTGCGGAGAATGGAGGTACTCCTACGGCCCGCCAACCTCAACACGTGGACCCTATCTTGGCACCTGAAATATCAGAAGAAAACACAGAACACAGAAGAAAAGGAAAGAAATAACTGGAAAGCTGTGCTTGCAGTGGTCAAAGCACATACCCTGGTTTTTAAGAGAATGTCCTCTCCAGTGCAAGTCTGTATATTTACTTAATTCTATGATAGAACTTATCGATAGATTCTATGGAATGGTTACTTTGCAATGGCACTATTGCTTGTTATATGTATTTATAATGTATATATGTACATAACACACACACACATGATCATTTGTTTATGGTTATGTTGTGTTATATTGGTCTAGTTTGACAATACAAGACTATTTTTTATTGAATTTTGATATTTCTGTCTCTGGGTAAATCGATGACATGAACTTTTGCGCCTTATATTATCTAATGTCTCAAAATGAATGTGGTACATGTCTTGAAGCTTGTTACAAAGGAATAAAACAAATTCTGCAAATCAAGCATGAACTTTTGGATAATGGTATTACACTTTAATTTAATGGTTGCAATTGAGGTGTAAAACGATTGTTTTGAGATGCCATATAATGGTGTTGCAGTTTTGAAATATCCTTGTTGCAGCTTCTATTAGAATATACTAAATCGATATGAAACACCATTATTTTGAGTAGTATAAAAAAACGCATACTGCAGTGGATTTAGTTCTGTGATTCTAACACCTCCTATATTCAAATTTGTAGAATTCTTGATATGGGCATGCTAACGATTTTTATTGTTGTAAGAATAATTTACCTTAAAAAAAATATAATAATAAAAGAATAATTGAGCATAACAAGTCAAATGAAGCGTAGACATCAAGATTGACAGTTTCAACTTGAAAAAAGCAGCAGGAAAAAAAGGAATATATATATATATATATATATATATATATATATAGTAAATGAAAGTTCCAAGTCAACGATCTTGGGAGGTTGACATGTGGCTTGTCGTACACCAAATACAGTTTCCGTACATACACGCTTTTATTGGAAATTTACCCCTCTAATTACAAATTTTCAAAGTTGAATTACCAGTCCACCTCTCCTAAGAAAATTTGTCCAGTTGAATAGGTCCACTTCATGAACTAATTAGATTATGTGAGGTTAGTTTAGTAAAATTGGGTACTAGTGCACAAGAAAAAGTGAATTAGTTAATTGTTTTTTTTATGAAATGGTTACAAATCACCTCGTTTTACTAAGAATAATAATTTATAAATGATAAAAATCAATCGAATTTAAAAACAAGCGTCTCTTAACTATTAGATGTATTTAGGTGAGATCTCTGGCCCTTCGAATTTGTTCAATGTAACATATTTTATTACTCTTCTGTCTTCAAATTTGGAATTCAATCCTTTTAATATTACAAGTTTGTGCAATGAATTCGACAATTATGTAATGTGAGCCAATTTAATTTAGTATGCATGGCTTATTAGCTAGTGAGCCACTTGACTCGTCGATGTTCTACATAAAGCAACAACCTAAAACGGCTGAGGCTGCTAAGGGTTAACCCTTATTGACCGGGTCCTTTGCTGTGATGGGACGAAGATGCTAGGAAGTCATCTCATCTTGAAGACGCTAATAATAAGTTTTGTGTGCGTGTGTGTGTGTGTGTGTGAGAGAGAGAGAGAGAGAGAGAGAGAGTGTGAATTGTTTAAAGGAGGGCTGACACAGTGGACTCACAGCTAGGAAAAATTCAACCCCCCAAAAAAGAAGTCCCACTCCTCTCTTGGAAGCTTGTTCCATGACTTGTTAAAACTCCACTTTCTTTCAACCGGGTATTATTAATAAACATTAATCTAGTTTCATTAAAGTAATTTTAATACTTAAATATCTTAAAGCTTTACAAGTTAAAAACTAAAATTGTATTTTCACCGTAAGCTCGAAATTTTGAAATTTATTGAAAAACTATTGAAAGACCCATGGTATAAATATGTCATCTAATTAAAGACTTTGATTTGTCTTCTTTAAAGAAAAGAAATATATACTGAATAAATAAGTATTTGTTTGTTTTAACTTATATATATATATATATTAATTCAATTACAGAAAAGTGACAATATTCTCCTAACTACTTTCTATTTTGACAAAGTCGTGATTGATACTAGACATTCTCAATTAAACAATAAATTACCTCCAAATTTGACACTAACATACTTGGACGCCAAAGATTTATACTAAAAAAGTAAAAAGAGAAGGGAAAAAAAGATCACAAATATTATAATAAAGAGTCACAATTAACACTAACTCATTCATTTACCAATCATCTTTGATATATTGTATGGGTTTTTATAAAAGCAAAGATTAGAAATGAAGCATTTATCATCATTGAGAAGAAGAATCATCATACTCGAGGTCCCATGCTTCAACTCAATAGATGACTAGAGAATGAGTTATATACACACACACACACACATATGATTTGGAGCATCAATGATGATGATCCAAAGATTCTTACTTGGTGGTCCATTATCATTTTCATGGTATTAAACTCCATCCTCGTCAATAATGCATGTTTCCTGTACTTAAATTACGAAGAAGGAGAAAGAACCCTAATTGCAGAATTAGGACAAACACGTGGAGAAGTCGGATTGAATGATTCACACTGGTATGAAATCATGTGGATTCCACGTTAATGCATTCGAAGTCTGATCGTCTTTTTTTTTTTTTTTATGTGCAAATTTAAAATATGCGTAAATTACAAAAATACAGCAAAATTCGTATTTTATTTTATTGGCTCAAGTAAATTTTGTCCTTTGATCACGTTGGCTATTTAACACAAGGGAAATTTGTTTTAAAAACAAACTTAACTAGATAGAGGTGAGTGTAGTTTAGCCACGTTAATTTTAACATTTTCTTGTTCTTTTAACTTTTGTCCAAATAATTGAGAATGTGGCTCATTTACAAACCTGTGTGTAGTCTGTGATGACCAAGTTTATTTATTTTTATTTTTTTCCTTTTATATTTATTTTTAATTGCATTTTGTTATATTGTGGGGCCTAATTTGATTAGTTGATAAGATATGTGTGGATGAGAATGTGTGTAATATGTATATGTGCGTGTACAAAGAGAGAAAGTGTAAAATAAGCCAAAAATCATCTCATTTCTCCCACTCCACTGACACTCTCTCTTCTTTCTCCCATTCTTTTCTTTTTCATTTTACTTCAACCATTTCACCTCCAATACTTGAGGCTTTGAGCTTGCCATAGAAGGGAAGTTGACGGGGATTACAAGAGGAACAAAACCCCTCAATCAATTTCGGATTTGAAGCACATTTTTCCTTTGGAGTAATTAGGGTTTGCTCCTAGCTTAAGGTAGGGGTGTATTGTGCTTATAACCTAGAAGTTCTTGAAATTTTATGACCATTGTGTGAGTTATGCATACACTTGTGTGTGTGGGTTGGATTAGAGAGCAAATATAATGATTAATTGTATGTCCATAATGTTTTACTGAGTTTTTATGTTAATTTTCATATGCAACAAGTTATTTGTTTCATTTTTGATATTATTGATGTTTATTAAAGTGTTAGATTTTAGTGTGTATAATTACTTGTAATTAAAGTACCTTACATATTGTGGTTGATCATAAAATTGTAATGTATTTGTTACCTTGTGAGGGTTAACCTTGAAGATGTATATTTCTATGATGATATTAAACTTTTACTATAATGTCTGTGTCTATATATATATGTGTGTGCATAGGTGTATATATTTGTGTGTGTGTGGTATAATTTAAATCAAAAAGAAAAGTCAAAGGGTGATGGTGGGACCCACCACCCACTCACCTTTAATGGTCTAGAGACCATTTTGCTTTCTCATTTTTTTTCTTCCTCTCTCCTGTAGCTTCTCTCTCTCTAGTTTTCTTTCACTTTTCTTTTCTTCTTGTAAACCAATCTTTGAAGCTTGATAACTTTCTCAATTCTTGGCGGATTAAGGTGCCGTTTGAGGCAAAACGAAGCCCACTACGAGCTCTACACATCCATACGAACAATTCCAGATTTGGTGCCCTCCTTGGAGTTCGAAATTCAAGACTCATTTTAAGGGTTTTGTGTAAATTTGAGGTAGGGGCTCTTAATCCACAAGTTTCTTACTCCTATGTGAATTACATCTTCTAATTTGATGCTAGACATGCTTACTTATGTTAGTTGTAGTTTAAAGAAATTATAGCATGTGTATGTGGTTATGTGAGAACTTGTTTTAAATGTTTTATGTGGAAATTCTTACTTATGTGATGATTTATATATGTTCGTTGTGCTAGATGCATTGTTGTACAAGAGTATGTTAAAATCCCTTGAGAAATTCTTGCGAAATTATGTCTTGCTTACTTAAATAGAGTTGAATGTGAAATGATAATTAAATTCATGGTATTGATGCACTCATACACTTACATTGGGCATGAAACGGAAGAATGAGTTTGAAATGAAAAATGGGATTTTGGGAAAAATGATTTGATGAAATGATTTTGAAAAACCCGGTCGCCGCGGGGGTACCAAAGGGCCGGAGTGTTAATATAGCCTAGAGGGGACTAAGGAGTCGCCCTAGCGTGGTTGAGCCAGCTGGGCCCCATAATGATGCCGCGGGGATACCAAGGGTCAGGGACACTAGCCAATCCTCCTCTCGTGTCGCTGCGGGGTCACCAAAGGGCGGGTTATATTAACAATTTGAAAGTGATGTTTGAGAACAGAAAATGGGGAGTGACATTGGCATGCATTTGCATTTCATATCATCGTGTGCGTTGTACTTGAGTTTGGTTGGAATGTTGTATTATTTCCCGACATTGTATGATCCCCATTTCTTATTGGCCTATTCTTTGTATGGATTCGCAGGGACACAAAAAAAGTGTCTTAAGTGTCACCTACTGAGCGTATAGCTCACCTCATCATATTCTAAATTTTTTTCAGGAAACGGAAAAGAAGTGACTAATGACTTTCCACCACAGGCCTAATTTGGTTTAGAAGACTTCTTTTTGTTATTTTTGTATTATGTCCCATATTTTTTTGGTAAAATCTTAGTTTGTTATATTTGGTATAGAGATTTATGAACTTTTGTTATTGTAACTATATTTTGGGACTGTAAATATGATATTTGGATGATATAGTATGTGGTTGTACCACCATGGAGTGTATTATATGATATATATGTTGGGACAGGTTTAAAATTCTTTTAAACAGGTTGTGGTAGGCCCATTTTTTAGGGGAGGTCATGCCGAATTTTTTTTAAATGGTACCAGTTTAGGGTCGTTACAAATTTAGTATCAGAGCGATAGTTCGAATACCATTAGGACGACGGGTAGAGGCTTACCTAGGGTTGTCTGGGAAGTCATTTGCATTGTTATTT